AACTTTTACTACGTTCTTCCTTTTCGTTTTTTTTTTTCTTAATTATTTTCTTTTTTTTTTTCTTTTTGCATCGAATCTTGTTATCTTGTAAATCTTTCGACAAGCAAGAGAGCTGTGATTTTGAAGATTTCATTTTGAAGATCGTTTTACTTTCGATTACGTACGTGAAGTGAAACTCTGAGAAAACAAGGATCGTTTCTTTTGGCGTTATTCCGAAGGAACGATGATAAAAAAAAAATTAATTAATTAATAAATTGCACCACGTTCAATCCGAATTACGTGTCCTGTACTGTAATCAGCACTCTTCTTTGTATTATATTTTTAGCTATTATCCATAATATATTCAGCGTTATAACATCGTGGTAACAATAATATTAACTATCGACGTAGAATATATAAATATATAAATATATATATATATATATTTTTTGTATTTTACTTCTACCTTGGCTGCATTGGACTGTATCATATTGATTGTATGTGGCATGCTAAGGGCGTGTACAAATACGAAATAAAGATCAAATAAATTACGATCGTCGCTAATCTGTACGTTCCTTGCATTGTACATTATCGAACGGACGAGAGATACAATTGCCATTTATATATTCTTATATGTAAATATAAAGATTAGGATATTATTATTTTTATCGCTGAACAACGTAGTACGCGTGGATGCTTAATGTATGCAACTGAATTGTAAATTCTTGGAACAAGGTTGGACGCGTCTTTTTTTTTTTTTCCGTGTTTCGAAGATTGCTCTTTCCCGAGAAGCGACGTTTCTCGTGCGTGCAACAGTCACGAGTCTAGGATCCATCCATCCAACCAAGAGTTGTACACGCAACGAAGAGGCAATCGAAGTGTTACGAAACAATACGGTTGAAAACCCACGCGCGGTCCCATTACATCTTCATCTACGCACCCTGAGTCGACAAAATCTTGCATCAATCTCGTGGATCTCTTTCTATGCATTGCAGAAGGCAACCTCGTTGACGTCTTCTGATTGCTCATCGGAAATACCTCGACCCGAATATCTCGTCGAACGGATGATCTATCCGGGAAAGAATACAAGAAAGCATCGCTTCAAGACGAAACCGCAAAGGATTTATGAAACAACGTGTAACGAGAAGAAAACTGCATCGTAAGAAAGTCGGAAAGTCGTCGAGAATATCATTCTCTGCTCGAGTGGTGTGTACAAACCACGTGTCAATCACGACGAAACATCCAACGTGTTTAACACCTTTCGAGAACACCTATCAGATCACAAGGGGAAAGGAATAAATTCACGTCACCCTTATTATTTAAACGTAGCCTTCTTTATCACACCGGTCGATAAAAGTCAGTCCGTGGAAGTGGTCGTGTCGTGATTGCTGCGAGCGAGTGCAGCGGTGAAAAGCGCAGGCCCATCGGTTGGCGGGCTAGGTGAGAGGCGAGAGGGTGAGGGGGTTGGAGAGCATAGGGGGATTTCCTCGGCGCATTTCGTTGCAGTAGTCGACAGCATCCCGCGGGTGGTCGCGATCGAACAATCAAGGGCGGGAGAGCTGTCGAGCAAAGGGGGTTCAAAGGGGGGAACCCTTTCTGTCTCTCTTTCCCTCCCTCTCGTCCTCCCTCCGTCCACCACCGATTCGAAAATAGTAGTAAGGTGCTTCTGCTTCGAAAGAGGAACGCGCGTCCACGACACGTGATCGCGTGCACGCCAGTGCTCGTCCATATTTTTCTTTTCCTTCTCTGTTTTTCCTTTCTCCCTCGATCGTAAACACCGGTGAATTGTAAGTAACGAATACTCGTCGAAAAGGGGATCGAGCAAATATTCGAGGGAAAGAATCGACGAAGAGGCCGACGAGGGGAGGATCCTGGCACGCCTCCAAGCACGAGCTTTTCCTCGTCGACAACGCCGTCGATCTGGCGTCGATGTCGGCGGCGGCACACCAGGCCGCGAAGTGTGTCGTTGCTATTTTCAGGTAGTACGTATCACACCGGCCACGCAAATATCATTGGTCGTAGCAGTAGAAAGACAGCTTTTGCAAAGCTTCTCACGCGGCCTCTTCCCACTCGCTCTCCGATACGCTGTCGGTAATAATGCCGCTCGGTAGTTTCGAGCACGCGCGCGAATCACTTTCAGACACGCACCCACGTTTCTTGCCTCGCCGCGGCCAGACGGACGATTGATTAACTTTTCACGAGGTGACCGCGCGCGCCTCTACGCTTCCGCCGCGCACGTGCTCGCCACGACGTCGGGACGTCGCGAGAGTTGGCAGTTCCCGAAACGCACGGTGCTCTGTGCTAGAAGAGTCGTCGATTTATGCTTGGATCGAATGCAACGGGCGTGGATGGTTTCGTAGATAACTGTGGTGGTGCGGCATCGGTCGATGATAAAGTATCGTCGAGTAACTGTCGAGTATTGCACGGTGGAAGAAAGATATTTGATGATTTGAAACGATTTACGTTATCCAATCTTGCGTTAGAAATAGAAATCGAAGAGCAATTTTTCAAGGTGGGATTCTTCTCGAAATATTTCCTCTCTCGAAGAAGAAGAAGAAAAAGAAGTGGGATAAAACGAGGGGGAGTTTCGTCTTGATAAAATTCTTCCCGTAAAATTGTCGTCCCACCCGCTCTATCACTCTTTAATCGAATTAAAACGAGAAAGAGAGGAGAGAGGAGTTAAAAAGGTGGAAATTCACGATCGAACGATGTTTAGATGCTGGTCTGTCGAGCACCGGTTTCGGTAAACCGTGACGGTACACGAGCGGTCGCGTATTTACGCTTTAATCACTTATTTTTTTTCGCGCTGCTCCAAAAAGCCAACGATGTGTGATACAGGCTTTTGTTGTGTGCTGCGAAGCTTCTGTGTGCGCGCGTAAAGCGCAACGATCGTACGTCAAAGCCGGCAGTGAATCTCGGCGAGCCGCAGAGCGCGGACGTAATACCGCGGCGAAGCCGCGCCAATCCTCCTCGCCGATAGTGCGCGAAAACGGCGGCTCTTCTTCACCTTTTCTCTCCCCCGACTGTCTGTGCGTCCGTCTATGCGCGTTCCTCGACCTAATCGATTCGTTACCGTTCTTCGCATTTTTGAAATGCTAATGGAATTTCGAGCGAATCCCTCACAGGTGGCCCTGATGGTCGTCTAAATTTTAATCCGTGGAATTTTTTTTATATCTTGCTCGCAAGTGTGCCGTTCGAACCGTCGTTCAACCGTCCCTGCAACCTTCCCACCTCGCGTTTTATTTTTATCAAGATCGATACGGTAATTTCCCCGATCGAAGGGTGGACAAGCGTGATACACGCGTTGAACGGGAACTCGAACGAATATGCAAGGTGGTTGGATCTTTCGTGGTTCGTTCGTCCAAGTTTGTTAAAGAACGTCGATCTTCTCGAACTGTTCTTCCTCGAATTATTCCGCACTTTCTTCTCTAATTAGAAGTTTGCGTCTCAAACGGAACACAGACGGTGCAATTATGGAGATCCATAACACTCGCGGTTCGACTCGTAGGCCTCGATTATTATTCTCGAATTAATTAACGAGTTAATTGCAACATATGAGTTTCGATTCGAGGGGAGGATGTTTCGCGTGCACACGCATCCGATGGATGTTGACTCTCGATGACAGTAACGCGCGCGAATCGATTCGATCTCTCGCCGCGAAAATCTCACCAATCACGAATATTTACCGCGATTTCAACCGTGTCGCCTCTCTCGAATGGAACAGGCGAACTCGTTCCTTTACGCTCTTCTTACCCGCGAAATACGATTCCTCGTGCTTAACAAAAGGCCGAGACACGGTTATTGTTTTAACGTCGTACGAAACGTTAAACCGATCCTGCTTAAAATCGAGAGGAAAAAAGAGAAAAAAAAAAATCTAGATATACATACACCGTTTCATTTTTCGAGCTCGTAATCGAGACGAACGAGAACAATTTCAAAACGATTACGCACGAAGACAATCGTCCAATGTGATCGTGGTCAAGTCGTGTATTGTCCTCCTTCTAATCATAATTGACGATTGCGCAATCGGTGCTCGAAAATAGGCGTCTCGATCACGCAGTACGATACGATACGAGAGGGAAAACAGAAAAATCAATGGTTAATATCTTTCTCTCTTTCTCTCTCTGTATTTAGGAAATTGGGATCGCCGGTTTTTCGAGCAACAGATAGAACGTGGCGGATGAAACCACACAAACGAGCACAGAAACTGTAGAAACGCGCGACGAAAAAGAGAACAGGAGGCTCGTAAATGTGAGAACAGGTTCTCTTCGAATATCGCGAAGTGCAAATAAAGAAGAGGCATACTTCTTTTTATACATACACACATATATATATATACATATGTATATATCGTCTCTTTAAATTTTTTATATACCAGAATCGTATATATTTGTACACCTTTTTCCCCCGAATTTATACGTATCTATTCTGTGACGAAAATTTTTACTCGAGTGGACGATGAATCGAGACGTAAATCTCCCGGCGGGGAAGATTCTGTGAAGCGTCTCGAGAAGTGTGGAGAAAGCAAGAGAAACGAAGTGGATCGGAACGATCCGATCGCAATTACTACTTTTCGCGATATCGCGTTCGTGCATCGATGCACGCGCATCGATCCCGATTCCGAATGAATGAACGAACGTGACCCGTGCAATTTATCCCGTACGGATAAGAGAGAGTTAGCAGGCACGTGCTTCGTGAATCCGGCGAAGATTTGCGATGGAATGACCGCGCGTGCCAAATGCCTCGATAGAGAGAATCAACCGTTATGACGTGATACGATAGCAGAGTGAGAGAAGTTTAGGAGTAAGAAGTGGCTCAAGATTCCACGACTATTTTAAGAACGGGCATAGTTTCCGAGAGAAAAGTAGAAACGGACCGGCGAGATCCCGAGACACGTATCTCATAGATAGTCATAGATAACGCCGTTGTCGTAGTCGATAACGAGGAGTGGAAGAAGAAAGAAGGATCTCGACAATTTTGCTTACAATTTTTTTTTACTCACTTTTGCCAGTGTCAAAGTGTAAAAGTCGTGAAATATTATATATATATATATGTATATATAATCGCGCGAAGAATGGAGGGAAGACCGAAAATCGAAATCGTCCGCGTACCTTCGAACGAGCGCGGTAACTTCCGGTCCCTGGACGGTGTCCGTAATAATTACATTCGTGTGGGTACGTACTATCCGGAACCGGAAGTCAAAGTGGTAGTTTGTGACAGCAAACCGCCTATCGAGCAATCTCGGAAATTCAAAAAGTGAGTATGTTAATTTTTTTTTTTCTTTTTTTCCGTCCGAAATAGAAATTTTATTCTAACGCTAACGATGCGATTGTATTTCAGGCATTTGGGACCAGTTTCAAAATTGCTTAGACGTCGTCATCACGCGACATATCTTGCGACCAAATCCTGTGATAATATTTATAACGTGAATAGAAGCACTAGCTCCTTAGACTGGAGGGTTAATCAAACGACGAACGAGAAAGGTGGGGAATTCGAAATATTTCGGTTCGAACGATCGGTATTATATCGTGTGTACCGTTATTTGTCGAACCGAGCGTTGAGCGTTACACGAGCGGCATTCGAAATTATTATTTCAGGCCTTCAATCTCGTCAGAGCAATAGCCTAGATTGGCGAGTAGGAAGATCAATTAACAAATTGCATTGGAGGGACACCACTCGTAGCGCGGAACAGCTTTCAAGAAGTGGAGCGATCAGTTCTGATCACCTTCAAACACCAAGTACAAAGTACGTTGTTCTATCTATTTCGTTCTACTACGTTCTGATAGAATAGAAAGATTCGTGATAACAACGATTCGTAGATCGAAACTCATTTCGCTCCTTCGACGACTCTCCCCTCGACTTTCTCGACCAGGAAGCAAAAATTCCTTGCAAGCGTCGCCGACCATTTGTCCTTGGGTGCAGGTGGAATACTCGTCGGAATCGATTAACGACGGGTTACGCGAGGATTCGCAGGAGAACGACGTGAGCTTCCAAAGAGAATTGCAACTGAATGAACTGAGGAAACGCATGGCTGGAATCCCTACCGCTTCTCAGGTGATTTGTTACGATACGTCGTACGCTGTATTTCGTGTGATTAAAAACGATCGATTATGGTGTGGAACAAAGGTAAAAGGCGAAGAGACGTGGCCATTGATGAACGTGTTGCGAGTAAGAAAAAGAAGAAGAAAACATCCGTGTTTAACGATACCGTATTTTTATCGCGTATTTAATAAAATGATTTTTATCGAGAGACTTTTTTTTATCTCAGGTCACCACAAAAGTCGTTAAGGATGGGAAGGAACAGCAAAGTTCTACAGCAAAGATCAGGATACAAGTGCAAGAACCGGAAAACGATTATACTAACGCCTCAAACTCGTAAGCTTAATTTTTTTTATTTTATTTTTATTTCTTTATTTATATTTTTAGAATAAGAATTTTTAATCGCTTTTGCATCGAAACAAAAAAAATTAAGAATTTTCTCCTCAGAATCTAAATACACCAATACGTATATATACGTGTGTATATATATATATATATATATACATACATATATATATTTATCTCGAAATCCTCGCATGCGACCTAATTGCACCTAACGTTAGTTCCGTAAGTAAACGTAAGCGATAGATGTATGACACCTAATAAACGAGAATGTTTTCTGCACTGTGGTCTTAATCTCCATCTTAGTTTTCGTAAGAGACGCACGACTATGTTATCCTTATTTGGTTGACTCTTTGCATCCTAAATACAATGGAATATTGTTAGTAGTAGGTAACTAGGTACGTAGAAATAAATAACAAAAAGAATATTGCTCGAAGATAAATACTGACAATTTTATTAATACGAATACTATGATACATGTGAACGTAGACACTTTTCGCCTGCCATTCATTATACAATTGTCAACTCGTTTAAAGAGCATACGAGACGACACAAGTCTTATGTGCAATTATTATTCATAATATGTACAAATCAGATTGTAAAAATAATCTGTACAGTAATGAGTCACGTATTTATGAACACGACATGTACTTAATGTTTTATAAACAAGACAAAGATGGTTATCTTTCGTCGGCACGTGAATTAATGTGCCCTCGAGCTGTTTGGGATTTACATAATCTATTGTATATTCCTCCTCGGCCATATGATTCGTATTAAATTGAATAATTACATCTAGAGCTCCTGTATCGGATGTATTCGCATCATCCAAATCTTTCTCCTGGTCAGAATTTTCCAAAGAATTGTCCAACGGATCGGAAAGATAATCCCCGATATCGGATACGTCAGAATCATCCGTGTCCAGAGATCTGGCTAATTTCTGTGGGGACGAACTGTCCAGTTTGGACAAGGAGGATTGTCGCGACAACTTCTTCTTCGAATTTGAATTTGAATTTGAAGATTTCTCTTTAAGTATTTTCTTTAATATTTCATCTTCGTCGATATCATTATCCCCCTTCATACTCTCGGGAGTATTGGACTCTGATTGTATGCTTTTACTTTCGTAATTTGCTGAAGTTTTTTCTTGGTCCTCTCTGCTTTTTTCCAACACTTCCAACGATGACACTTCTGGTATTTCTTCAGTTTGACTAAGGCGTCCGTAATTGCTTGATCTTCTTTCATTTATATCGGCCAATAACGTGTAACAACCACTGGACCATCTCTGAAGCTCTATAGCCATCTTGGGATTCATAGTTTCCGTTTCCGATATCAAATCTAATTCCGTGTAATCTTTCAATAATTGAAATATCGTGACAGATTTAAACATGTTATAAAATTTCGACAATAACTCTGGCAAGCTCGTTTCATCCGCCACTTCGTAATTACGAATATCGGCTGGTCCAACTTTTTTCCAAACAATAGAGTCGGACGTCAAATCTATGGAAAGTTTTTCGTATACGTCGTCTTTGAAATAATTAGATAAAAGTGTAAACGAGTCTCGTTCTATCTCCTTCTGAACCTCTTTAACGATACTAGGATATATGTAACACTCCGTTACCCAATCCCGCAAATTTATTCGATCGTTTAATGGCTCTATGTAATTGGGTTCAATTTCAGGTCTTGGTGGCCTAGTATCTTCTCTAAGCGGTCCATGAAACCAACCATTGATGGACCAACGTGATTTATCCGATGCAATTACTTCAGCCACTTGGTGATAAGAATTATCCGTAACTTCAAAAAATACAAGGGAATTGTACTCTGGTATCAAAGATTTTACAACATTTCTAGGCAGTCCATTCTCATCCGTGTCAAATAAATCTAAAGCACCTCCATCACTTGCAGACCAATTTTTTGAAAGATATAATACAAAAGCAATTCTACGATCACCCATATTGTCATCATGACAAAGTAAATAATCCGTATCATAGTAGCAAGAACTTGACATTGATACTTTTTTATTAAGTTCTACCTTAGTGATTCGCTCCATCCATACTGTTAAATCTGTTTGAAATGTCTGATAAAGTAACCTTAAATATTCTGAGTCAATATTAACAAAGTCACTAGTTTGTTCAAATTGATAAAGATCTAAACAATTTCTTCTACATTTAACATCCAACAATTCATTCTTTATTTCATCCATGACGTCTTCGCTGTAGAGAAAGTTTGAAATTCTGCACACTCTGAAAGGTTTTGATATAATTTCAATGTTGTCTAGTTTCACATCTTTACAATTGTGCCAATGCTCATCAAATAATCGTTGAAAATTATCCGTATAGATAAAATCAGAAATGACAGATGGTCTCAATTTTTTTGATTGCGGTTCTTCTTCAGCCATTACTCCGGATTTCTTTTCAAACAATCAATCAAGAGTTCTTACTTACTTGTATTCTTATTCTATCAGTCTTTTTTTTTTTTTTACTTCTATCTTTGCATCAACAGTACATGTCCCTGATATTTTTGTTACTTACAAATAGTATTTTTTATAAATTTGTAAACTATATCACATTTTTTTTTTTTTACCTTAATAGACAGATATGTATGTATCACATATTTCAATTACATGCATATATCGTCCATTAAAATTCAACCTTTAGTGAAAAATATAAATTCTGTTGTCATTCGTATGTTTATCTTTTTCAAAATATCATTCTACAAGGTTATCGTGTTTGAATTCAGTTATCAACTGCCAATAGTTGTTCTAATTGAGTTTTTATTCAGAAAATTAATGTTTCATTCTTTGCAAAAGTATAGCGCTGATAACAGAAATATCGCAGCTTGTCTAAATACACTCACCGGACGATGCGGCACTTGCTTTTCGATACATACGGCCCACGTGGTTGTTTTCAACCCGCACGTGTTCTGAAAACAATCGGTTGAAAAGTCGGTTAATAAAATTCCCCTTGTCCCGCGATATTATATTAAATGTTGAAACGATTGGCCGTTAAACAAGTTAAATTTCTTTTTCGGCAACTACGTACCAGAAATTGCACGTGTGTCCAAATTTAGCAAATTAGATCCGTCGTTCCGTGTCACCACGCAGTTGCATTCTGCCCAGGGACTACTAGTACCACTGGCGAAAACGTTGATTCGATCGAAACCAGGGACGTCGCGAATTATTCGTAAACCCTGACCATATGCATGCCTCTTATATACAATTCGTACTTAACCTTATTTCGTTTCATTTGACGTCATAAAGTACGATCCAATACCGCGATTGTTTAAAATCTTTATACGAAGTAAACTTTTTTTTTATACGAATTTATTAAATGAAATGATTCTATACTTATGATAAGGATTAATAAAAGACTTTAAAAATTTGATCAATTTTGATATTTATAATAATATTTTTAAAAAAAAATAAAGAAAAATATGAAAACGTTAATATCGTAACTTTTTTTTTATCGTTACAAGTTCTATTTCAATTTGCTATTTTTTCATGATACGTAATAACAGATTTTACTACATATTTGATTATATAATTTTCACGTTTTAATAAATTTTACAATTTATAATGCTTATAATGCTAGCAATTATTCTTTTATGTGTAACAATAAATATTAATATTATTAAAATATCTAATAAATAATAGAAAATTTTAATCAAATTTCAAATTTGTTACGATTAATATAGATCTTTCGTATTGTCAATTTAAAATATAATATGAATTAATTACGATTTTGTGATTAAAACAATTTTTTAAAGAGTGAAAAATTTTGCGCAAGAAATTAGAACGGTTTGAATCGTCCGCGCAATTTTATCATAGTTCAGCAATTTGTCAACCTGTGTCGCTATAATCGATCATATCAAGATGGCGACAGTAGTTCACATTTGACGGGTGCCGTTGGTCGCATGGAAATTCGGGGCACACCCTGACCGTTAAATTGTACAAAGTGTGATATCATCAGATTTGATGTTCGATTATTGTGAAATCTTTGTGTAAAGAACTTGCTGGTAATCCTGGAACGCGATAACAGGACGGCTTACGCATACGTGAGTAACGATACACGAGTGAAACTCGCATACATACATCGTGACAAGTCTCATCCTTTCCGTTTTTTATCCCTCGAGATCTGTCAACACATTGGCCTTTTTTCCTGAAAATGTACGTTGCCTGCTTGTCGTTTGCCGATAGGTTCGATAACTAAAGGGTGGGGTTTTGCGGTTGAAATTAACGATGTAAACAGGCGGTTAGAATACTCGGGATCTCTTAGTCACCTTTTGTTTGTGTCGGAATCACGTTGTGCCGGGACAAGTTTAACGAAGCGAGGTGATATTTAATGTGATTTTTAAAATTTCGTCTCGAGCAATCGTTTTACCTAATTTACCTTTTCATTATCGAAGATTTATTTTCGATTCAAATCTCCACCGATTCGTTTATTCTCCTATCTACTATCTTGGCCTTGAAACCGGACTCTTAGTGCCCTACTGTAACGATTCCGATGTGAAGGAGCTTTCGAATTTTAAAATTCACGATCGTGCGTGGAGAACGAAGGTGAGTCAAATGGTATTTTTATATTATACATCAACCTCGCGACATTACATTCTTTTTCTTTTTACACATCTGTCGAGATTCTATCTCTGTCTAAGTGACTATCGATTGCTATAGGAAACTAAACTTTTCTTTAACGTTCATGATTTGTTTTTCTTTGATCATTCTTTGCTGTGTTTCTATATCCGATAGCGATCTCAAAAGAAAAAAAAAAAATCTCAGGTTATTACGCATTTGTATAAAAATAGAGAAAACTACAGGTATACGTACAATGCGTACGTGACAATCGCTTTTACATTTTGTACCGTAATGATCATTTAGATAAAACGGAATCATGGAAGTTTCGAGTGACTTGTTCGCGATGAGGTAGGTCATTCGCCTTTTTTTCTCCTTCGATGGAATACCTTCGACAAGATGCCAAGTGGCTCGTTTAACGATTACGCCACTC